AGTGAAATAGCTTGGGACTGCTTGGGACCGTTGTTCTGGTACTGAGTGAGCCAAAAATAATAATGATTTTCTTCGGAACCCAGTGGTCTTAGAGTTACCTCTATGGTATTACTACTACCTAAAGCTACAACAAATTTAAACAGCGCTTTTCAGTGCTCAACCTGTAAAAATTTCTACCTTGTTCAACTCTTATTCCTTTTCGATCCTTGTTTGGACCCTACCCAAGGTAATCCTTCTTGGATATCGATTTGGAAAATTCCTCTTCGATCCTTCAGATTCTTATAGTAATCTGCTTGGAAGTCGATTTGGATAAAAATTTACTGCCGCCATGGCGCCTAAACGCAAAAGAAAGGGGCAAACTCTTGATCCCCCTTCTGATGAAATTAATTTGAGCAATAAATTTGATTTGCTCACGGATGATGAGAATGATCCATAATGCCAAGAAGGAAAAGGTTCCCCCTATTGTGATAACCACTTCCGATTTCCATGCTCTTCGCATGGAACTTTTGAACTTCGTGAAAGTTAAATTTTCACTACAAATTGGACGCCGGGGTGAATGCCGTGTATTGGCTGAAACCTTGGACGGATTTTAATGTCTTCTCAATTATCATACTGAGAAGCAGCACAAATTTTTTACTTACGACACCAAAACTGAACGTGTGTTCAAGGTTGTCATGAAAGGACTGACCAGTGGTGAATCCCTGAATCAGATCAAAGATGAACTGGAAAAATTATTTGGAGTTGTGCCACTCCAAGTAATTAAAATGAAAATGAAATCCCGTCCTGGCGATTCACGCAACGGGATTTCTAATGATTTTTATTTAGTTCACTTCAAGTCCAGTGAACTAAATAACCTTAAGGCCTTGGAAAAAGCTAGCCTTATGCTCCATGTCCGAGTGAAGTGGGAACACTTCAGGAAGACTGGAGGAAATTTCCAAAACCTCACCCAGTGCCGCAAGTGCCAGGGATGGGGTTACGGAACTAAAAATTGCTACATGCCAGCTAAATGCATGAATTGTGGTGATTCCTCTCACGCAAAGGACGACTGCCCTGTGAAGGAAGATCCTAAGAAATTTAAATGTTCAAATTGTGGTGAAAACCATAAATCCAATTTTTGGGAATGCAAGACTCGCAAAGCGATCCTACAATCTCGTTCTGAGTGACAGGAAGAAACTCTCCAATTCCTCTGCTGTTAACAACGGTCAGCGAGGATCAAATTCTACATTCGTACCCGTAGGTACAAATATCACCCCTGCTTCAAATTTTTCATCTATACCTACTCCCCTCGCTGCTAACAATGTTCAGCCTATGCTGCTATTGCAACGGGTAGAAATCAAAATACTAACCAACGTAATTCTAACGGAAATTTTGAAAATTTTTACTTAGGGAGCATTACTGCTCCTAAAATGGATTTTTTACAGAAATCATTAATTGACATGATTCTAATATGATAAAATCTAACTCCATGTTTGATGCTATTCAAACTGGAGTAAAATTTTCAAACAATATTGTCATGACTTTAAAATTCTGCAATGGATTTTAAAGCATTAAATATTTTAAATTGTAATGCTCGATCTCTTAAAGATGCATATTGCCGTTATAACTGAAACTATCCTTAAAGCTGACCATAAGGTTAAGAAGGACGCAAATTATTTAATTTATAGAATGATCGTCTTGATGGACCCTGTGGTGGCGTTGCCATCATTATTCATAGACGAATCAAACATAAAAAATTTTCTTCATTTGAAACCAAAGTTTTTGAAACTTTGGGAGTTTCTTTTGAAACAAAATTTGGACAACTTACGCTCATAGCTGCCTATTTGCCATTCCAATGCGTCGGCCAGCAAAAGAATTTTCTCAAGGGTGACCTTCAGAAACTTACCCGCCATAGGTCTAAGTTCTTTATTGTTGGTGATTTAAATGCAAAACACCGCTCATGGAATAATGCTCAAAGCAATTCCAATGGTAATATTCTGTTTGATGATTGTTCTGCAGGTTATTACACTATTTAATATCCAAACAGCCCAACATGCTTTTCTGCTGCAAGAAATCCCTCTACTATTGATTTGGTCTTAACTGACTCATGTCGACTTTGTACCCAATTGGTTACCCATGCTGGCTACGTTTCTGATCACCTTCCAGTAACTTTTGAAATATCCCAAGAAATAATGTCTAATCCCAACAGCTCTACTTTCAATTACCATAGAGCTGATTGGGAGCCATATCGAACATTTATGGAATATAACTTCGATCCAAACATTCCTTTGCAAACCAAAGATGAAATTAATTATGCTCTTGAATCTCTGACTACTTCTATAGTTGAAGCAAGAGCTGCCTCAGTACCAAAATGCGAGGTTAAATTCGATTCAATTATAATAGACGACGATCTTCAGCTCTTGATCCGTCTTAAAAATGTCCGTAGGAGACAATATCAAAGAACACGCGATCCTGCCATGAAAGTTATCTGGCGGGATTTACAAAAACAAATTAAAAAACGATTCTCTGCCCTGAGGAACAAAGTTTTTGAAAATAATGTTTCTAAATTAGACCCGAATTACAAACCCTTTTGGAAACTCACAAAAAATTTGAAAAAACCTCAAAAGCCAATTCCCGCGCTTAAAGAAGGTGGTAAAATTTTGATCACATATTTGGAAAAAGCTCAGAAACTTGCTAAGCAATTCGAGAGTTCCTATAATTTCAGTTTGGGTCTTACTAGTCCTATTGAGAATCACGTTGCTCGGGATGATCTGAATATTTTCTCTCGGGAAAATATTTTTGATGATTCTTGGGGGACTGATTTGGACGAAGTAAGGTCTATAACTAAAAAGTTTCATAATATGAAAGCTTCAGGTGATGATGGAATTTTCTATATACTCATCAAAAAACTCCCAGAGAGTACCTTGTCTTTCTTGGTAAAATTATTTAACAGATGTTTCCATTTGGCATACTTTCCTGATAAATGGAAAAATGCAAAAGTTGTTCCAATTTTGAAGCCGGATAAAAATCCAGCTGAAGCTTCTAGCTACCGTCCAATAAGTTTGCTTTCTTCAATAAGTAAACTTTTTGAAAAGATAATTTTAAATAGAATGATGCTTCACATCAATACGAACTCAATTTTTGCAGATGAGCAGTTTGGATTTCGCCATGGGCATTCAACTACTCATCAACTCTTAAGAGTTACCAATTTAATTCGTTCAAACAAATCTGAAGGCCACTCAACTGGAGTTGCTCTTCTAGACATAGAAAAAGCATTCGACAGTGTTTGGCATGAAGGTTTGATTGCTAAATTGAAAAAGTTTAATTTTCCACTTTACATTATGAAATTAGTTCAAAATTATTTAACTAACAGAACTCTGCAGGTAAATTATCAAAATTCCAAATCTAATCGACTACCTGTTAGAGCAGGAGTTCCTAAGGGTGGCATTCTTGGGCCTATATTGTATAACATTTTCACTTCGGACCTCCCTGATTTGCCTCAGGGTTGCCACAAATCTTTGTTCGCCGATAACACAGGCATTTCTGCTAAAGGAAGAATTCTTCGTGTTATTTGCAGCAGACTGCAGAAAAGTTTAGATATTTTCTCTTCTTATTTACAAAAATGGAAGATTTCTCCCTACGCTTCCAAAACTCAACTTATAATATTTCCACATAAGCCTAGAGCTTCCTTTTTGAAACCTAGTAGTAGTCATATAGTCACTATGAACGGAGTTCCAATTTCCTGGTCAAACTAATGAACTTTTAAAGATCACATTGAGGGCATTCAAGCCAAATGTAACAAATATATAAAATGTTTGTATCCTCTTATAAACAGGGAATCCAAACTTTGCCTGACGAAAAACTTCTAATATTTAAACAAGTTTTTAGAACGGCCATGCTTTAAGCTGTGCCAATATGGTCTAGTTGTTGCACTACCAGGAAAAAAGCACTTCAAAGGATTCAGAACAAAGTTCTGAAGATGATTTTGAAGTTGCCTCCCTGGTACAGTACTACCGAAGTACATAGAGTTTCTAATGTTGAGACTTTAGAACAAATGTCCAACAAAATAATTAATAATTTCAGGCAAAAATCGTTGCAATCCTCAATTGCAACGATTAATTCCCTTTAAACTTGATAAGATTTAGTTTTAGTTTTTAGTTTTAAGATATCAATTGTTATACTGACATGCAGGTTTAAAAAACCTGTTTAAAATACTGAATTGCCAAGGCAGGAACAATGTAAAAACATTTAGATATATCATAACAATTAAGGCTGGTAAGTTACTGTTACCTAGGTTAAAATAAAATGGAATTTATTTTGATTTTGGAATAAATAAAGAGTAAAAAAAAGCAAGAGGAGGAATGATGCCGCCTATTTAGAGCAGTTAATGCATAAGAAATTGGGAAAAATGTTTCCTTATTAAAATCAATTGTATTTTTTTTTCAAAGCATTCGGCTTATTGACATTTGAGCTTGTATTTAAAAAATAAATAAATGCTGAGACAAAAGCGGTTGAGAATCCACTTCTCCACATGCTCTAATGGATGGGACAATCTAGCTTTGGTATTTTTCACGATATTTTCTGAACTCAACTTTTGTAACTTTTAGTGCACAATGTAAAATGCCGGTAGTTTACAATCGATTTTAATGGATAACTCATTTCTGTCAAAAAGCCCCGTATGAGTTATGCTGTTAAGGGCAGCAAAGATTACCAACATATTAACCTGCTAATGTACGACTCGTTAAATCATCATTAGAACCTAGAATACCGACAGTGCCATTCCGAGTAAAGCATTAACCGTCAATAGTGATCCTAATCTACACAACTTGCCGTAAGCACATTAGTGCAAGTGAAAACAACATTAGCTTCACGAAAGTTTCGTCAAAACAGGGCGAATAAATCGAAGTAGAACTTTCAGCTGTTTATGTTATTTTTTTTCAACAGGCGCTCATGCAAAGTTGATATCAGCTACGGTTGAGCTCGAAACGAACGCGTGACAGTCATAGTCATTTGGTGCTAGTGAGACGCGAAACCACACCGCAACGTTAATAGTGTGACTATATCGTGCCTCTATAAAAGCTATTGATTACTCATAAACACTCGTCAGTCGTCATTCGAGCAGCCGCAGCAACAATCCAATAATAAACGCGAGGAAAGGGTAGTACCTGAGTCGCTAGAAGAGCGAGAGAGATAGAAAAGCCGTGACTAAAATTTACGCTACGTTAGGCAATTTGAAACTCGATCCCTTTTTGTTAGCTGCCGAAAATTGACGCCCATAAATCGTTGAGCGTGCATAGTGTTGTGCGAAACCTGGCGCTAAAGGCAAATTAAGAATAGTGGAAATTGCTCGGGGTGTTTTTTCGCGAGGATTAACTGTTTTTGTTCCGATTTACGGTACAACGCGGAACCAAGTGCGGGTGCAAATATCTGTGAAAACAGACTCGTTATTTCGGAACCGGTGGACAGTTCATTACTCATTGTTGCGTTAACAGGTTCTTTTCGCTTGCGATCCCATTGAAATAGTGAGTTGAAAAACAACGTGCGACCAAACTCACACCGGTATCGCTTTACCACGTCGAAGCATCGAAGCGGTTGTTATTGCTGAGGGTCACCAACATGAAATTTTACATGTTTACACTGGTGTTGATGGTGGCATTTGTTTGCTACGTTTGCCATGGAGCCGAAATTCCCCCGCCTACGGTACAGGAGAATGGAGGAGATATCGTGCGGAGTAAGTAGTGCTTATTTTCACTGCGATGCGTCCCATTTCTATTTTGTTAGCTGCTGTGGGAACGTGGTCGGATGCATTGTTTCATAATCTTAAGCATCTGTAAATGCAGGTAACCGGCGTCGGTGGTGTAGTGGTAAGCTTGACTGCTTTCTCGCCCCAATGGGTCTGGGTTCAATCCCAGCCGAGGTCGGTGGGATTTTTCTGAGGCATAAATGTCTCTGGTCACGTTCCGTCGGAACTGAAGTAAAGCCGTTGGTCCCAGCCCCATGTGTGTGTTGAATGGGTGCGATATCCTACGCAGGTGTGGAAGCTGCCTTCCTTGCACATTCGATTGCCGTCAATGGATGGCAATTGATGTCCATCGGTGATTGGCACTAGATTGCGGAACAGAGACCGACGTTAAATAAAGGAATGAAGAAACGTAAATGCAGGTTGATATTTGCGGTACATGGCCCAGAGAAGTGCCAAAACTTTTTCTGTGGTTTCTATGTTGTTCTAATTTTGTTGTATTTTTTTTCCGTGTTGTGGACATTTTACTGTTTGCCGTGTGTTTTGATGATCAATCACTATTTAGAGTGATCTTCATTATTGTTCATCGGCATTATCGCAATATGGAAATGCACTTCGAATGAAGTTTACAACTTTATTTGGTATACTGGTTCTAATTTCTCCAGGTACGGTGAGTCCTTTATCAAGAAATTTGCATCGTTTATTAAAGAGTGCAGCGCAATCGCACAATAAATGTTCAGAGCTTTCACTCTACCAATTACAAAAGCGACTAGGACAATGCTATGTTATTAATCCAGTGTGGAAAGATTGAGTAACCTTTGCGTACTCAAAACGTTGGACTCAATGAATCGTTTCGATTGCCGGGCTGTTGAGGAATTATTCCAATTGGATTGTACCTTGCTTTTTCCCAGTTCTTTAATTCCACTTTCAGATTTGAAGGCGATAGACCAATAAACTGTTCGGAACCAATACATTGCTGGGATGAGCCAAGCTTTGCTAATTGATCAAATTTTTCATTTCCTTCAATGCCCCAATGATCAGGAACCCAATATAGATTAACCTTGTTACGACAGGACAATTTCTGAAGTTGATTATAGCATTCTCACACTAACTTTAAAGTGTAGATCATTGATTTAAGGGCATTCAATGTTGCTTGACTGTTCGAAAAAATGCATAGGTTTGCATTCCTATAATTTCTTTTTAAACATATTTCTTCACATTCTTGAATCGCAAATATCTCTGCTTGGAATACTGTTGGCCATTTACCCATTGCTACAGAACAGTTAATTCCGGGACCCGTTATTCATGCCCCTACCCTGTTATCTTGTTTTGAGCCGTCCGTGTAGAATGTTAAAGACTCAGAACAAATTAACAGCCCTCAAGTCTCCCAGTCGTTACGTGTTGTTTAAGGTGAAGGTAACCGGCACGAAAAAAAAAAATTCTGTACGTTTTTATTTTTCTAAAAATATTGGGAAAAATTCTCAAAAATCCAAGAAAATCAGTTTCTTCCTTAGATTTTTGTCAAAAGTTAAATGTAAAAATATTTTTCTATCTCATGATGAAAAATAAAATAGGACTCTCAGCAAAACCGAAAAGTCGATGTTTTGTGGTTTTTTGAGTCCAACTTTATGCCATAAAGACTTATGAAAAATTAGAAAAAAAATTAATTTTTTTTTTTACATTTTTTATACCTTTTTCCAATATTATTAGAAAAATAAAAACGTAATTATTTTTTCGGAGCAGTGAGCTTCCTCTTTGAATAGATGGTTGAACTCATGTGTTTTCGACATACAATCTTCATTCTTTAATATTAGTGAACTTAATTGAATCTCTTTCAAAATTCTCATATGATTTTTAAGATCTCCTTCAAAGAACTCTTTTGTTCGTCTGAGCCTAAGAGCAGTCATCATTGCATCCAGTTCAATGAATTGATGTAAAGGAAAAATATTAAGCAAAGCTTCTAAGGCTTTAGATGGAGAACTGCGCATTGCTCCAGTTATGGAGGTAGTGGCCAACCTCTGCAGTTTTTCAAGTCTTTTTTGGGCTGTTTTTTGCACTGTTTTTGGCCACCAAACTAGTGATGCATAGATTGTTCATGGTTTTACTATAGCCGAATAAATCCAATGTAACATTTTAAGGTTTGAGTCCCCATTTCTTACCAAACGGACTTTTACTAATCCAAAGAGCATTGGTTGCTTTTTTATTACTTGTTCTAAATGTACATTTCAATTGAGTTTACTATCTAAAGTTACTCCTAAGTATTGAACTTCCGAAGAATATTTTAACTCTGTTCCTTTCAAAGAAAGTTTTGAAAATAATACCTTTAGTCTTTTTGTAAAGGGTACAATCGTTGTTTTTGCAGGATTTATTCTCAATCATTCATTTTTGCACCACAGTGTAGTTACATTTAATGCCGTCTGCATTCTGCTTGAAATGATTTCATCAAATTTTTCGCGGACAATTATCACTATATCATCCCCAAACCCAATATTTTCGAACCCTAGCGATTCAAGACTAATAAGAAGCTCATCTACTACTAGCGACCATAGAAGTGGAGAGAGAACGTCTCCTTGAGGACAGCCTTTAGCAGCTGTTCCAGGCATGGAAAATCATTTGCATTCATTGGCATTCATTTGCCTCTTACTTTTTTCATCAACAGAATTCTGTACAATTATGTTTGAAGCTTTTGTAGGTTGTATAATTAACTACAACTTTTGTAAATAATTTAAATCTGTATCTTTTATGCATGATGAACAAGAGCGGGCATAACATGTTATTATTTTTCGGTGAAAGTAATTTACATTCTCTCAAAAACAATGGTGGGTTCAGAATGATCTGGTTCATTATGCATAAGAGATACAGATTTGAATGGCTGACAAAAGTTGTAGCTAATTATAAAACCTACAAAAGTTTATACATCACTTTACGGAATTCTGTTGATGAAAAAATTTAGAGGCTAATGAATGTAAATGAATGCACGAAATGAATGTAAATGATTTTCCATGCCTGGCTGTTACCTTTATGGTTGACTCTGCAAGATTGGATGATATTTCACGATTCGATAACATTTCTACTATCCAATATATTACGCTTTAATTAAACCCACGTTTTTTTCATGGCAATTTTCATTGATTTAAAAGAAGCATTATCAAATGCTCCTTTAATATCAAGAAAGGCAGCCATTAACACATCCTTTGCTTCGAAGGATTTTTCGATTTTTGAGACTAGAGTTTGTAACGCTGTAATTGTTGATCTACCTGGTTGATAATCAAATTGAGCTTTACTCATTGGTATTTTTGGAAGAATTTCAGATTTGATATGTTCATCGATTATCTTTTCCATTCATTTAAAGAAAATTGACAACAAGCTGATAGGTCTGAATGATTTGGGAGAATACTTGCCTTTATTTTTAGCCTTTGGTATAAACACTACTCGAACTTGTCGCCATGTTGTAGGAATATATCTAAACAAAAAGCTTGCTTTAAGTAAACTTACTAAAGCCGGAATCAATACTGTTTTACACTTTTGAATTAAAATTGGATAAATTCCATCCAAACCTGGAGATTTGAGTGGTTCAAAAGAGTCTATGGCCCATACAACTTTAGAATTAGTAAACATCACTCTCCATGGACTGTCTTGATCCATTTACTGAGTAATGACCTCAGTAGTTTAGGTAAAATAACCGTCTTCTTTTATAAGGCTCCTAAGTCGTTTGCATGATCCTTAGAAAGGACTTTTTGAAGTTTTGTGGTAACAGGAGTACTTTCAATGTTTTCACACATATGTCTCCAATCTTTACGTTTGGATCTTCTAATTTCTTTGTTATAGTCAGTTAAAGCCTCTTTATAGTGACACCAATTTCCTGTTATTTTAGCTCGATTAAATAGTTTACGAGCCTTTTTCCTTAGCTTTTCTAATCTGTCATTTCACCAGGATACATCTCTATTAGTAGAGCGTTCCTTTATAGAGCAACTTGCATAAAAGCTTACTTTGACTATATGTTTTGTACTACTTTTGCATGAAGTCAACGATTTGCATAGCTGAAAATTCTAATTTCAAATAACAGACTAAAGTGGTAATTTTTATACGATAGATGAGGAGATGAAAGTATAGAGTTGATAGTTTCGCTAGAGTACGGCAGTGTGAAAATTGTATATAGAGAGTTGAAAGCGAGCAAGGACAACTGTAGGACGGTACAAATCAGTTTGATCATCTCTCTTTACCAAACTCCCCCGTTGGAGAGGGATGGTGAGGGGTGTTCCCCTCCACCACACTGGCAAAAAGAGATGATCGTCGACTTGCTCATGTACCGACGATGTGTTTGAAACAGTTCTATCGATTTTTACCGCACTCAAGTTGTTATCTGAAGGAAGGCATCCAGTCGTAGATTTGGAAATTGCAGCTATTGTTACCTCTACCACGGCATGGACAGGAGCACACGGAATGTGGAATCTGCTGTTGCTGTGGCCTCTACTGTTCGTACTTAACTTTTCGCAGTCGGAAGTGTTCGAGCTACCATCGCGGAAACAGTTTCTGGTGCTCTTCCTGAACGGTATGATTGGGACAGTTCTGTCCGAGGCTCTCTGGCTGTGAGGCTGCTTTTTAACGTCTTCCTTGGTTGGAACTGTAGCCATCTCGTTACAAATCTCAGTGGCTATGATGTTCGATATGCGACTTCACGGCAAGAGCTACCCATTGCTGTTCTATCTCAGCTCGTTGCCGATGTTCCTTTCGCTGGTGCTCGTAGCCTTTCTGATGAATTTCGATGACTGTGAATTGCCCAGCAACTACACATTGTCAGTGAGTAGCACGTTATCTAAACTACAATATAAATATTTTTTTTAATATGCAATTTGATTAATTTTAATTTTTTTTAATATTTTTTTTTGTAAATAATAAAATAATTTTTTACAGAGTATATTTTTTCTTGAAAGGCACACTACTTGTCCGCAACTTCGGCCAATACACCATCTCGATCAAACAAATCGTTC